AGTACTCAAGCGGTGCAAGGAAACTCATCTAGTGCTGAACTGGGAGAAATGCCATTTCATGGTGCAAGAAGGCATTGTGCTTGGACATAAGGTTTCACAAAGAGGGATTGAGGTTGACAGAGCCAAGGTGGAGACAATTGAGAAGTTGCCACCACCAACATCCGTCCGGTCTATGAGAAGCTACTTGGGACATGTAGGATTCTATAGAAGGTTCATCAAAGATTTCTCCAAGATAGCTAAGCCGTTGTCCAATTTTCTTCAGATAGATGTGCCCTTTGAGTTCACCAAGGAATGCTTCGAAGCGTTCAACATCTTGAAGGACAAGCTGAGCAATGCCCCGATCATAATAGCGCCGGATTGGACACTTCCTTTTGAATTGATGTGTGATGTAAGTGATTCAGTAGTGGGAGTTGTTTTAGGACAAAGAGTGAACAAACATTTTCAGATGATTTACTATGCTAGCAGGACCTTGAATGGAGCTCAACAGAATTACACCATGACGGAAAAGGAATTACTAGCGGTATTTTTTTCTTTTGATAAGTTTCGTTCATATTTGATTTTGTCCAAAGTTATTGTGTATACAGATCACTCGACACTTAGACATCTACTTGCAAAGAAGGATGCAAAGCCAAGGCTGATCAGGTGGATCCTGTTGCTACAAGAGTTTGATGTTGAGATCCATGACAAGAAGGGTACCGAGAACCTAGCTGCAGATCATCTTTCCTGGTTAGAGAATGCAGATTTGGAAGGGAAGGTAACCAGCACCCTCCAAGATGAGTTTCCTGACGAGCATCTCTATTCCATTTAGGTAGATACATCTCCTTGGTATGCTGATTTTGCCAATTATCTTGCTGGCAATGTCCTTCCCTCTAACCTTTCATATCAGCAGAGGAAGAAATTCTTCTCTGATGTGAAACACTATTTGTGGGAGAACCCCTTTCTGTATAAACTTTGTGCAGATCAGATCATTAGGAGGTGTGTCCCCGATGAGGAGATGGAGTCGGTACTCCAGTACTGCCATGATTGAGAGGTAGGAGGCCACTTCGGAGCCAACCACACTATAGCCAAGGTGTTGCAATCAGGTTTCTATTGGCCCACCTTGTTCAAGGATGCTCACAGGTATGTGTCCGCATGTGACCAATGCCAGAGGACAGGTAACATCTCTCGACAGAATGAAATGCCTCTCACTAATATATTAGTCTGTGAAATCTTTGATGTATGGGGAATTGACTTTATGGGACTGTTCCCAAATTCTTTTGGTAATAAGTACATCCTAGTTGCTGTTGACTATGCGTCCAAATGGGTGGAAGCTATGACCTTACCCACAAATGACTCTAGGAGAGTAGTACACTTCCTCAAAAAGCTATTCACTCGATTCGGAACACATCGTGCCATAATTAGTGATAGGGGAACTCATTTCTGCAACACCCAATTTGAGCGGTTGATGCGAAAATATGGTGTCACGCATAAATTAGCAACCCCATATCACCCTCAAACCTGTGGCCAAGTCGAGTTAGCTAATAGGGAACTAAAATGAATTTTGGAGAAGATGGTAGACTCTTATAGAAAGGGCTGGTCAGTCAAACTAGATGATGGATTATGGGCATATAGGACTGCATACAAAACACCCATCGACATGTCCCCATACAGGTTTGTCTTTGGAAAACCATGTCATTTACCTATTGAACTTGAGCACAAGGCATATTGGGCCCTGAAACTCTTAAATTTTGACTTGCAGGCCGCAGGTGAACAGAGGTGAATGCAGCTAAATGAGATGGATGAATTCAGACTTGTAGCCTATGAGAATGCCAAAATCTACAAGGAGAAAACCAAACAATGGCTTGACAAGAATTTATTGAGGCATGACTTTCAGGTGGGATAGCATGTATTATTGTATAATTCACGCCTCCGGCTGTTCTCGGGCAAGATGAAATCGAGGTGGTCTGGACCTTTCACCATATCACAAGTTTTCCCTCATGGAGCTGTAGAGGTGATGCACCCGACACAGGGCACATTTAAGGTCAATGGTCAGTGCCTCAAGCCATATATAGTGGATGGAACAGTGCCTACCCCATCAACTATATACCTAGATGATCATGATGCCACTGTAACATCGAGCTTCAGACAGAAAACAAGCGCTTATTGGGAGGCAACCCAATGCTGATGAGTAGTTATTTATTTATTTATTTGTGTTTCTGCTTTTCTTTTTCGTATCATTCGAGTTTCTTTTCTAGGATGTTAATTTTGAAGATTGCTGATCTCTCTTAGTGTTTATCATTCTCTCCTCCTAGTTTCTTTTGATCTTAGCAGCTAGAGGGGACAAACGAAGGAGCCATTCCAGTTTTCAGAATGCTCTTCAGGGAAGTTCTCTAAACCCCTTCATATGCTTCAAGTCCCACTGCTTACATTGTTGAATTCATCTTTGCACTTTATCTATATGAACATTGAGGACAATGCTCATGATAAGTGTGGGGGAGGCTATAGTTGTGCACTTCAATCACCCCAATACATAAATGCATTGATAGGCTACATAGACTAGAAATTCCCTCAAGATTATTGCTATTTATAAGGTGAATTCTAAGAGGGAATACGATGAAGTCGAAGGAAATCACTGTAAGTGCTAGAATGTGTTCCTGTGAATTATCCAATTTTATTACAATACATAAGGATGAGGAAGTCGAATAGAACTTTCATCATGACCATCACCAACTCTACTCATGTGTATAGTGTGCTTGGTTGAAATCTTAATGATCATTCTGTTAGACAATCTTTGTATGCCCTTAGATCCAATTAGAATGATGTACTTTTGACATTTATTGTAAATGAATAAAGTGCATATTTGATTCATGTTCTTGTGGTTTGTTTCTGTGTTATACCCTTAAACTGGACACTTAATGAGACTCGTGTTA